ACAAACTTCCCCTCAAATTTCCTACCAAAATTCCGCAAAAATTGACCGTTTCGACGGTGTTCCCCGATGGGGGGATTCCCTGGGTGACGCGGAAAACGGTGGAACCGCGGAAAAACCTCTTGCATGTGTGCACCCTTACGCGACACGCACAGCCTCCGGGTCCGTGTACTCCGTTCTAAAGATGTATTGGAGAAGTGTAAGAAGGGTAGCTATTTCTGTTCGTGGGGAGCCGAGAGACTCGTCGCGCAAACGGCTCTTAGCCACTTCGTACACCGGCTAGTCTGGCGTTCGCCGCGTATCGCAATACGCTTTTCGTTTGGAAGAGGCACACGGTAGCTCTGCACGCCCGTGACACGCGAGTGTGCCTGTCCTCGTAAACTCAGTGATCCATCAAACGAGAGAAGAAAAACAAGTTACGATCCAGTGAAGAAAATAAACGACCGTTTGGAGCAAACGGGAAACAAGAAGAGAAAAGAGAAACGTGGAGAATTCGAATGACAATTACACACGGTTCATTTTCGCGAATTACCAATTGAAAATGAAACTTCTGTGATTTATCAACAATCTTCGTGGGATCTGTCGAATTATCAATCTCGAGATTTGCAAGAATTTTCCGCGATTGGTAAAACTTGGTTGGATCGTCGATCTCGATATTCGGTAGAATTTCCCGGGCAAACGGTGTTCGGTTATCAATCTTCTGACACAGCCGATACCGGGACGAGTGCAGTGCACCAAGCGTGAAAATAGATGGTTGGTGGTTTGGTGAAGAGATCGGTTGGTGAAAGTGACGAGGTGGAAATAGTTGCCACGCTGAATCGCGGCCCGGGGAGGGAAGACAAATAGGGCTTGCCGCTCGTGGTTTATCGTAAATGAACAGCGACCGTGGACAGCTCGACGTTTAGCGTGCACACTTTGAGCAAACGGAAACCGCTCTCCGGGACGATTAACGGGTTCATTAATATCGAGATTACTACGAATACACTTCGAGCTACGTATTTCACCGCGGGAACCATTAATAAGGGGTGGGAATTGTCGCGAATCTTTCAACGGCGATTTTACAAAAGTACCGTTAATTCAAATTCGACACGGTAGATTTAAACACATTTGAATAGATAAAATGGGAAAAAATGGTATGAAAATTTGAAGTAACCGTGAAAATTGTCGCAAATCTTCTGTACAAAGTACACGCTTAACCTGGATTTCACAAAGTACCATTCGGTTCGGCGTGAAAATCGAAGATAGTAAAACCGAACGGGAGTAGCTCGTAAATAACGAAAACGGGAGAAGTTATGAGAGTAGACATCGTTTGACAATCCCGTGGCAATAATGTCAAGCTAACGTTTTGTCATTGGTCGAAGCCCCTTGCCAATCGAGGCTCGAGGTGGCGTCGGTCGGCCAAAAATTCGCGCGGTACCGGGCGTTTTGGACGTCGAAGGGGTCACTTTGCTGGTGGATCAAGCAGGGCGAGTGGCCACGAAAAAGAGCCTCTTTTCTACGACGAGGAAATCACCGAATTGGCCGGCTACCAGGGGACGAAACGAAACGAACGAACGAACAGCTCCCACGGAATCCTCGTAGGCATCCCGGACGTAAAAATAAACCGTGGCTCGTCGAGAGTCGACACGAGCCGCTCGGTGGTGGCTACGGTTCGACGAAAAACTTTTTAACGAGCACACGATGAAAACGACGTGGAACCGTCCAGAAGAGAAATTACGATAAAAATAAGCCTTGGGTGACGCGTGCGCGCGCGCGCGCTATCTTTCTTCTTCTTCACGCTTTGCCCTCCGTATTGGCACGCTTTCACGCGAGTTCACACTTGAACTTTCGTTTGGTCGAAGCTCATCACTTCTGAGGAAGAATTTGATCGAAAATTGTGAAGATGAACTTTTTGGAAATTTCAAAATTCTAATTGGAGGAAAAATTCAGAGTTCACTTTTGAGGGAAAATTCGATGGAAGATTGTGAAGATAAAATTTTCTGAAATTTCCAAATCCTAATTGAAGGAAAGGTAGAGTATTCAGAATAATTAGAAGAGCATCGTGTCACTTTTAAGGGAAAATTATCGAGGAGAAGTTTTTTAAAATTAAGAAATCCAATCGAAGGAAAAGCAGAGTGTTCAGCGTTTATCGGCGAGGAAGGAACAACAGAATCACACTTCTAAACACGCATAACACAGTGAACAATCGAAGAAAAGTGGCATTCATGATATTTGGCGTGGCGCGCAACCGGAGCGACGAGACACTTCGCTGGTGCCCGCGCGAGCGAATTATGGCGAGGCGGGCACAATACGGGCTGCTGATTCACACACTGGACACGCTCGCTGATGTGAACGCCAAGAGGAAGTCTCGACTGAATGATCAAGCACAAGAATCCGTGGTTCTCATGGCCGGAATGCCAACTTTCTAGCAATTAGCTAAACAATAACCGTTTCATACTCTCTGAAACTACTTCCCTATACGCCATATTTTGTATTCACGATCGACGACACTGAACTCCAACCAACAATTCAGGTATCCTTCATTCAAGGATCAACTTTAAAAACCGCGAAATACCATTTAACCAAGTTCGTTAAAAATCGATGATCCTTTAGGAGGTTCGAACGTTTGTCCGGAGACGAACAATGTCCTATTGCAGGATCACAGGAAGAAGCAGGGGACTCCCCAAGCCGAACTACTTTCCCCTGCTACCACCGATCAGCCCTGCCGACGCGAAACGCTTCTGCAGGATCACCGGCAAATCGTACGGTCTGCCTACTCACCATTACATTCCAGTTCTGTTAGGTGTGCACAGCCACGACAAGTCGAAATGCAAGATAACGAACGCCTCTGGCCTTGGGCCGCATCATTACACAGCTGGCTTCATCCTGGGCGAGAAGAAGAAGCACGTGATCCTCAAGGATTATCGCTACGTGTTTCCAATCTTGGAGGGAGAGGGAGAGCAGCAGAGAGCTCTCAGAGATTTACTGAACACGAAGCATCCGCTCGCCGAAGAGGAGCAAACTAAATACGTGTACACGGTGGAGGAACGAAGATGCAGCTTGGTGTTTCCATCGAGACTGGAGGCTGCAGTCAGAGACGGAGATGTGAAGGACGTGATGCTGTCGAGAGACTGCGACACGGTGTTGTTCAGGCTGAAACAGGGGAAGAACGTGTCCGTGGACTTCAAGAATCTGGAGGATTTCGAGAATTTGTACGACGGATTGGGACCTAGTCAGGATGTGATGAAGGACAGAGAGAGGCAGGAGGCAGAGGCTAGGAAGAGGAAGAGGAAACGACAGGCTGGACTGAGCTACGCGAAGAGGATCTTCGAGGAGAAGGAGAAGGCGGCTGAAGAGGAAGAGCTTAGACAGACGAAGCAGTTGAAACTGAGGAGTATCAGAGAGGAGGCGAAGGAGGAGAAGGTAGAAACGTGGAAGCACGTTGATCTGGAGCAAGCTAGAACTAGAACGTGCGACTTGATCTCTGTTACCAGCCCCATGAAATGCACGGGGAACTGTATATCCGAGACTCTCGACTGGAACTCCTTCCAGAAGACTATAGAATCTCCCTTGGAACCTTTGGTGGATATAGTACCTTCTCCGCTGAAAGTGAAGCCTCAGATCGTCGAGCAAGGCGCCTCAGCCTCGTGCATCAGCCCTATCTCGGAGAGCACTGGAGGATTCGAGGCGATATCGATAGTGAAGCCACTGACACCGCTGAAAATAGAGCCAGACGCTGTTCTCCAGTCGGCAATTCAGAATATTCCAGCGAACGAGCTGAAAGAAGTGTTGAACGTGAACGTGAAGCTTCTCCAAGCAGGCGACGAAGCTCTGGAACAATTACCTCGAGTAGAGGAGATCCCAGAGCTGGTGAAGAAGCTCGACAAGGGTCAGGTGACCACTCAGCACAAGATTAAAGGTCTGAAATTAGACGTAAAATCCGCGCAGAGATTTATCACCGGGCAGACTGTGCAGACGCCGATTGGGACTATTTTTGTACCTGGCCAGACGCTGCAGACACCTCAGGGTCCTGCCTTCGTTCCCGGTTTAACGGTGAACACCCCCGATGGACCTGTCCTCGTCCCTGGACAGATACTCAACGTGAAAGATCAAGAGAACAAGGAGAGCCCCGTATTTATAGCTGGACAAACACTTCCCACCGAGCAGGGTCGTCGATTTCTTCAGGGTCAAACCTTCCACACGAACGAGGGTGCTAGATTCGTCCAAGGTCAAACTGTGCTCACAGACGACGGTCCGAAGTTCGTCGCCGGTCAGATAAGCGAGGATGGAACCTTCGTTCCTGGTCAAACGATCCTTACTCCCGATGGACCCAGGTTCATGGCTGGTCAAACTGTCACGGACGACAGAGGAGAGCAGGTGTTCGTTCCTGGACAGAACGTGCAGATAGAGGAGAGTTGGGAGTTCGTTCCTGGACAGACCGTGGAGACTCCGACGGGAGAGATTCGGTTTATTCCCGGCCAGACGATCCCAACGTGCCAGGGACCGCAGTTCGTTCCTGGACAACACGTCACTGCTAGTTCCGGAGACAGTTACTTCATGCCTGGCGTGGTTAAAGACACCGAGGAGGGAGCGAAGTTTATTCCAGGAATGACTCTGGACACTCCCAAGGGTCAGAAGTTCGTGGAAGGTCAAGTCGTGAGGACTCCAGAGGGCGAGAAGTTCCTGCCAGGAAGAACGGTGATCACAGAGAACGGTGTTCGATTCGCTGCAGCGAGTACGTTCGACGAAGTGATCTTCCACGATGCTGGACCTCTCGGTATACCTGTCGACCCTAAAACAGCTAACGTTCCCGTCGAACAGAAGGAGATATTCGGCCACATGGTGCAGACGGAGAGAGGCGTGGAATTCTATCCGGAGAGTGCTAAGAAATTGCCCGAAGGGAAGAGGATTGTTCCAGGACAGCTGGTTCGCGGAGGAAAAGACGGTCCAAGGTTCGTACCAGGTGTCATGACGGAAGACGGTTTTCTGCCTGGTCAGATAGTGATGACAGAGAAGGGAGAGCAGTTTGTGCCTGGTCAGGTAATAGACACCAGCTCTGGACCTAAGTTCGTGCCTGGACAGATGGTGGAGACTAGGACAGGTGCGAAGTTCGTTCCTGGTCAAACGGTGGACACTGCTGATGGACCGAGGTTCGTGCCTGGCCAGATCGTCGAGACGAAAGTCGGTCCCACGTTTATTCCTGGTCAAGTGATCTCTACGGAGGACGAAGGGTCTAGATTCGTGCCTGGTCAGGTGGTAGACACCCCAGAGGGTCCCAGATTTGTTCCAGGTCGCGTTGTGGAGTCTGGAGAACTTGGAGTGACGTTTGTGCCTGGTCAGATAGTGCAAACTGAGGAGGGACCACGTTTCGTCGCTCCAGATTTGACAGACACTCCCGAGGGTGAGGTAGAATTCTCTGTGCAAGGATTCGAGGTCACTCCTGAAGAATTGAAACTGCTGAGGCCACAGAATCTGCATTACAATCCTCACGTGCAGCATCAGGGAGAGACCAGCATAGATGCCAGGATGCTGAGACAGTTATCCGAGGCTGGACTGTCTGTAGGAAGAAAAGTGGCCACTGATTTGCCAGCTGTTGACGTTGACGTCGATCCAAAAGCTGTCGCTCTAGAGCACGCTTTAGAAATGGCCGAGAAACTTGGATTACATGGCACCACTGCTGTAAAAATGGCGCAGATAGTGTCCACTGTGGCGCAGTTGGCCAGAAATATCGTACAACAGTTGGAGGAGAGTTACATGGAAAAGAACTTGACGAACGGTACCAAGTCTCCTGTTGCTATAAACGATAACAGAAACGGAGACGAAAGAGACATTACGAGCGAAGAAGCTGGGGATTGGTTGAAAGATGCAGTTAGAACAGCGATGTCCAGTGCTGTTCTAGCGATCAGCAGTCAATCTATGGAAAACGAGCACGATAGTAAGCAAGATTTCGTGTATTCCTCGATCAGCGAGGCTTTCAACGTTCTTCTGAGACAGAAAAACACCAGCATCGAGGAATCTGTGGAGGAGATTCTCCAAATTCTTCTGGTTCCCCAAAATCGAAGCAGTCTGTGCCAGTCAGCTCTGTTGGAACTACTCGACAACAAGAACAGCAAAGTAGACATACTAAAATCAACCATAGTCAGTCAATCCTTGAAAGAAGACGTGGTTCTAGAAAGACTATCGATGGTCCTCGAAGAGAACGGCGCAGACCTAGTTGGCCCAGCTTTCAGAACAGTCTCGAAGAACGATCCAGAACTGGTCTCTCGCGTTCTCCAGAAAGTCTCAGAAGAAGTCTCGACGATAGTCACGGAAAGAGAGGCTGCAGAGACGGTCCACAAGGCCATCGTCCACGCAGTCAGAGAGTCCAGCGAGATTCGCGTTCAAGAGTTACTAAACGACGAAGGAGGCAACGTTCGAGAGATGCTTCTGCAAGCAGTAGGACTCGCCAGAGCTCTAGGCATGTCGAGCATCGCTAACAGCCTGCTAACAGTGATCAGCGACGAGAAATCAACGCAGGCTTTAGCCAGCGACAGAGTAACGTTGGACGTGTTGAAACGTCTGACAGTGATGAGAAAATTAGCCGAAGAAAGGCCACCGTTCATGCACGCTCTGACACAATTGTGCAGCGATCCAGAACTGGCTAGAATGGATCCAAGGTTGAGAACTCTGGTCAGAGAGAGTGCTGCTCTGATGATCGTGCCTGAAGAAGGACCCCTTCAATCTTCAGCCGACGTACCAACAGCTCTTCTTCACTCTGACAACAGTCTGGCCATGGAAGAGTTTCTTCTGAGAAGAAGTCACAAGCCGTCGTCGATTTTCATGATCTTGAAGCAAGGTATACAGGCTGTGGTGCCTAGAGAAGCCTCTAGATCGGTTCTAACCGGAGAAGTGGCTTACACGGTCCTCGACGAAGACGGAATCCATCATTTCGAGCCTCTCCACGTTTTCTCCGCGTTGCAACTCGCTCGTCCGACAGCTCATCGATTCTCCATGTACTGTTGTCCCGTCGCGAGAGACGAAGAAGTGGACATCGAGATGATGTCCACGTTTACAGGGACAATATCGATGGCTAGTAGCCTGGATGGTTCTGGCAACGGAACGTATCAGAGGCAAGAGTGCAACGGTGTTGTGATGTCGAGATCTGATAAATCCTTCGGCTACTCTGGCAGCAGAGAGAACACGCCGAGTTTGAGGAGACTGAGCAGCTTCCAGCAAGACTTCGAACGGGTAACGTAACGAAAGATGAGATTCTCTGCTAGACGATTATGAGGTTATAGTGTATTATTTTAGGTGTAATAGCTGGTTTGATCGAGCAGGCTACAAATGTGATTCCTTGTTAGAGATTAATTAGGTTGTGTAGGGGACTCCCTACAGCCAAAATCTATAAATTCACCGACTATTTTTGACCGGCGCCCTAGAGTGATCGTTTAATTGTTTCTGGTGGTTAGGGGAGTTTAATTTTCTGGTTTATTTAAGGTTCATTCTGTGGATCGTGGAATACTCCATTTTTTGCAATTTTAATTTCAAACTGTTTCAATTTTTTTAACTATCAGGATTGACGAGAAAATTTAATGTTCCTCTTCCTTTACTGTGTTGGTCGTGGAGTACGCTATTTCTCTAATTACAACACTGTCAATATTAACAAATTTTTAGTTTCCTTAAAATTTTATAATTAAATTTTAGTAAGTCAGAAATTAAAAATTAAGAAATTTAATTTTACATAGTAAAACCTTAACTAGTCCCTGGAAATCCGAATAATTTTTCCCTGTCACGACATAATATCCACTCCCTTTTCAATTGAAAATCGAGTTTCGTCAGAAATTCATCCAAATTTCGTTTGATTGATCGCAGAAGGCGTTGGACAACTACATCGTGGTGAAGGATTACAGGAGCGAGACTGATGGATTCTCCGTGAACGTTGGCGACATCGTCGAGGCCCTCGAATACGCGGATCCAGCCAAGTAAGCGATTAAACGCATCATGTTTGCAAAATTTCTCATAGAGAAAATAAATTTCCACGGATCGTATCGTTCAGTCGGATCGTTGACTTGGTGATCGCGAGGTCCGCTCGCGTTTAAAATCTATTTCCGTGTGCGCAACGTGCGCCCGGCCGAAAATAATCACCGCCTCGCGCCGTATATAGTCTAACACGATTCTGCTCGCGATCTGTCACTTTCGCTCGGTCCCCCCACTCCACCTCGCTCCGCGTTCTGATTAATGGCGGACGCGACATTGTATCACGCGCTACTGCAGCTAATAGCAAAAATAGAAGGACTTTAGAGGTATTAACTGTAACATTGTAACGCTTTCCTGGTGCATGTGTTAGGTAATAGAGGCGTCAAAGGGGAAAGCTCGACTTGAACGAAAAATTGAAACTTCTTTTTGTTGCAATAATCTTCTGCTTTACTCTATTACTCCATTTTTGGGATTTTAACACTTTTTAACGCTGGAACAACCGGAGTTGAATGTAATATATGTTCTTCTTTGTGGTATTTTTAGATAGACTATATAAAGAACTTCGAAATTAGAATGATCAATGGAAAATAAATTGATGAAGTCAACTAAAACAAAAGGAATCTGTCATTTTTATGGGTTTGGTTGTTCTAGTGTTAATAATATCTTTCAACCCTTTGAATCCTGAGCAATTTTTTTTTAGTTAAACGATATTTTTTGATATTACAGGGTTTCTATGTTTTTATCAATTTGACTGAGTTTAGTTACTTGAAATTTTTGAATAGTTACTAGAATTAGTAGAATTATAGTCTTTCGTGACTGCAGTACTATTTTCCAGAATTTTTTGATTGCCTACGGATCAATTTTCATTGTTCCTTAATTTTTCTTATATTTCGAAGAAACTTCGAAGGAACTTGCTACCGAACGATATGCTTCTAATTGCATGAATTCTACGCATTGAGAAATTTTTCACGATTAACAAAAAGATGGAAGTTTCGAATATGGGAAAAGTCACAAAAATTGTATCTTACGTGTATATTAAAATAAATCTGCTTGCTTGATTAACACAGCAAGCGTGACGACGTTGCCTCGTAGTGCATAACAAAAGTTCCAAGGAATATTACTATACTTTCCTTCACTTTAATACAGCTCTCTAGTATCTCGCGTCTAATATCAAGTAAAACAAACATTTTTTCCCAAACTGACTGGCCGCTGACTAAGTGCTACTACACTTCGCCTGCTTCGTCGATAATTCTCGCTGAAGAAACTAATATCACTGACAGAGATGGCTGTGCAAATAAAGGAAAACGTGAACGCTCGCCGGCGAAAAATCCAAAGAAACACGGCTACGTTTCGGGCATGGACGTGCTCTCCATCTTCTTGGAACATCTGTTGCATAGAGTGCATGAGCTGTAGAAAGAAAAGAAAAGAAGGGAGAGAAGAGGGAAAAAAAAAGAGAAGGAAGAATGGCAAACGCAAACGGGGATATATTAATAGAGACAGGTTTCCAGCGTTTTGCTCCGTCGAGGGGGAAAGCAGAGTAGAAGAAAATTAAGGCGCGGTCAATCCGCGCGTGTCAAACGGTGAAAGATCGCTGTATACGCCTCCCCTTTGCTTATTTTCGCGGCGATATTTTTACGCGAACAGGACGGTGCGTTGCTCGCTGGTTCGTTTATAAAATACGGGTCCCGCGAGTGCCTCGACTCGATGGCAAATGGAAAGTTTCGCCCCTCTTCGAATGGGCTGGCCATCGTCGTTGCGCCTTTTCGAAGGCTTCGATCTCTCCTCGAAATTGCCTGACCATGCCCATTGCGCATATTCGAAGGTTTCGTCTCTACTCGAGATTGCCCGACCATCGCCAACGAGGCCTTTCGAAGGTTTCGTCTCTCCTCGAGATTGCCCGACCATCGCCAACGAGGCCTTTCGAAGGTTCCGTCTCTCCTCGAAATTGCCCGACCATCGCCATTGTGCCTTTTTCTTCTGAGAATGATGGTAAATGGAAAGTTTAATCTTTTCTCAGCTGATTTAGCCATCTCTATACCTTTTCTATGATTTTGTCTCTCCTCAAAATTGCCTGGCCATCGTCATTGCACCTTTTTCTCTCGATAATGATGGAAAATGGAAAATTTCACCTCCTCTCAGTTGACTTAGCAATGTCTGTCGCCTTTTCTAAGGTTTAGTGTCTCCTTGAAATTGCCTGACCGTCACCATTGCGTCTTTTTCTCTTGAAAATGATGGCAAATTGAAAGTTTCGCCTCTTCTCAAATATCTGACCATCGGCATTTCGCCTTTTCGAAGATTTCGTCCCTTTTCAAATGCCTGACCATCGCCACTGCGCATTTTTCTCCTGAAAATGATGGCAAATTGAAAGTTTCGCCTCTTCTCAAATATCTGACCATCGGCATTTCGCCTTTTCGAAGATTTCGTCCCTTTTCAAATGCCTGACCATCGCCACTGCGCATTTTTCTCCTGAAAATGATGACAAATTGAAAGTTTCGCCTCTTCTCAAATGTCTGACCATCGGCATTTCGCCTTTTCGAAGATTTCGTCCCTTTTCAAATTCCTGACCATCGCCACTGCGCATTTTTCTCCTGAAAATGATGGCAAATTGAAAGTTTCGCCTCTTCTCAAATATCTGACCATCGCCATTTCGCATTTTTCTCCTGAAAATGATGGCAAATGGAAAGTTTCGTCTCTCCTCCAGCAACCTGGTCATCGCCATTTGTCTTTTCCTCTTGAAAACGAACGACGCCTCGTCGATTTCAGATAAAATAATCAGAAGCTTCTCACTGCAATGGAAAGGCGCTGCACTTCAATTGTCTTCGCTTAGTTGTACACGCTCTAAATATACACCGAGTGTAGCAAAGAAACACGCGAACGCCTTGGTGATTTAAGCGAGGCCTGAAACTCGCTGTTTTCCGTTAACACGCTCGCTAACACGCTTCGATTAGTGGTATAGAATGATATGTTTAGTCTGCATGAGTGAAATGGCGTCGATCAAAGCAGAAGATAGAGAATAGAGAGAGGAGACTCGATGAATGGAGATGATGGAGACTCTATTCTCGATCGTGTTTCACCCCTGTTTTCCAGGAGGATCAAACTAGATCCTGACTTGGAGATCGGTGAAATTGGCGACACGCTGGACAATTCCGCTGCCTGGCATAAATTGTCGGTCAGACCGAGACGAAAGTATGCCGATCCACGTGCTAGAAGCATCCCGAGGTCCTCTTCCGAAGGCAACCTCTACAGGTAATGTGTTTTCAGAGATTTCAGGTGAAACTGGACCGTAGAATATTTTCGTAAAATTTTGTGCAGTTCCAATGTGCAATAGAGTAAGAAAAATTCCATGTAAATATTCAACGATTGCAAAATTCGATGGATTTCCTGGAGTAAGATGGAAGTTTCATAATTTCTACTGGGAATTCGATGGATTTCCAAGGGGAACATATAAATTTCATAATTTCTACCTTGAAGAATCACGCTGAAGAACTGCATTTAGCTACACGAAAAAAGCTCGAGTATTGAAGAACCGAAAAGTTTCATAATCTATAAAAAGACCATGGTAAATTGAAGATTTTCAAGAGGATTTTGGACAAAAATCATCAACTGTGAATTATCGAGAGGAGTTCTGAAGAAAATGCAAAATAATCGAAAAGTTCCATCGTCTATAAAAAAACATCGCGATAAGTTCCGGATTTTCAAGAGGTCTTCAGATGAAAATGATCGAGACCGCGTTGATCTCCGCCAAGGGCGCGTCATCGTCTTAACATTTCAAGACTGTGACTGAAATATAGAGTGACCAGGTGCAACCTGTCCAATAAATCACGTTTCTTCTCGACCGCTGCTCATTAAATAGCAAAACGACGCTATCATTTTCCCATTTATAGATGTCCGCACGCCTATGACGATCACACGTGAATGGAAATAATTCGGATTTTGTGGAATAATCCTTCGAATCCACTTAAGATAGAGCAATTTCCAAAAGACGTTTACGTCCGAAGAGTTAGAAAGCGGAAGATTTCCATTGAACCGATGCGAATGTGAATTTACATGGACGACGACTAAATCCGTGCACGAAATATAGCAACGACAGGTGCTCCGGTCAAACAGTAGCCTGCAAACATTATGTTAACTGAGAAAGCCAATGAACTCGTCGTATTTCATCCCCTTTGGATTCACGCGGAAATGGCTGTTCAACCGGTTGTTTGATTTTCATGTGGAAACGCGCCCTTTATCGCGCTGATCTTGCGCTTCCATTATCGTTTATCTTGGTAACTTCGTTGTTTTATCGTTGAAATATTGTCTGATAGCCACGGGAAAGTAAGAGTATTAAATTCTGGTGGAAAAGTAGTGGAAATTTCCCACTCATATCAAAATTTCTACGCAATTTTCCACTCACATCACTATTTCCCACTCACTTTTACACTCATATCATAAGTTTTCACTCATATCAAAATTTTCCACACATATCTCAATTTTTCACTCACTTTTCCACTCATACCACTATTTTCCACTCAGTTTTCCACTCATATCACTACTCTTCACTCACTTTTCCACTCATATCACAATTTTCCACTCACTTTTCCATTCATATCACAATTTTTCACTCACTTTTCCACTCATACCACTATTTTCCACTCAGTTTTCCACTCATATCCCTACTCTTCACTCACTTTTCCACTCATATCACAATTTTCCACTCACTTTTCCATTCATATCACAATTTTCCATTCACTTTTCTACTCATATCATAATTTTCTACTCACTTTTCCACTCGTATCCCAATTTTCTACTCATTTTTCCACTCATATCGCAATTTATTCCATACTATCTTAAACGATACATGACTCAAAATTGTGACTGATTTCCACCGCATTGATCTCTTTCCAAAGCCTAAAAGGAAAATTCAACATTTCCGGCAGGAATATTATTCGATAGAAAATTGCAACATCGTTTCACTTAAAATTGAATATTTTGTACTAGCAACAACAGCTGCTGTTTCGATTCGTTACACTCTAAACGAGAGCGATTACGATGATTTACGGCGACGTTAATGATGATCGAGCGTTTATAAGTGTCTTTAAATCTACAACAAGTGAGTCAATTGGCCGATGGCCAATCGGAGCACGTTTAAAGTTCGATAATTGTATCAATTATTAGTCAAAATGTTGCGATAAGCTGCAACCTCTTCGCGAAATTCTACACGGTGTCTAGTTTATACTCCTTCTCTCCAAGCAAAGTATACTTTACTATCGAACGTTCGAAACGCTTAAATAAATTCTCGTTGCATAATGCAATGAATAATGCGTGGCTCCACGCGTTTGCCAGAGAATCGCGATTCCGAGGAAGGCGAAACATCAGCCAGTATTCTGAAAATAAGTGCGCGTGAAGGTGAGGTTCAAGCCTGATAGTTTAATTCGCCAGTTTGGCACTGTTCGCGTTCAATGGATTGCGAATTATTTTACTATCCGCTACATCTATCCCGCGAAATGTACTCCAATTGTATCGTTTCGCCGATTTTACAACACCTGGCTGAGAGTACACGTGTATCTGCTAGAGACACCGACTTGCTACGAAAACGTACGATAGATACGAATAAATTGACGTGAAATTAGAGCGGGATTAAATTTCATGTGAAATGTTCAGAGAGGGATTATTCGTTGATAGTGTGTGCAACAGAGATCGGGAGAGAAACTTTTTGGAGATGTTCCTCGATCGGAAACGTTGGAAATAGTCGTGGTGGTGATTAATTAAAGGAGATTCAGCGGGGATAAAAATATAGTAGGTTATATTGTAAAGAATAGATAGATATAGTGACGTGCGGGCGATGGAAAGTTATATTTGAATTTAGTGACTAAGGCAACAGGCTTCTCTGTATATGCGAGTGGCTGGTCGTTCATTCAGCAGAACGCAAAATTTGTTGGCCGTCTGTTCGGCCCATTAGGCCTTGAATTGGCCAGTACCATTTAAAGTGGACCAATTATACTGTCGACTTGGTGAAAACACGTCCGGAGTGGATCTACGTCGAATACAAAAGGCAATTGATAACTGTTTGGTGTTGAATAGGAAGTTGCAGGTTCGAAATTGCAAAGAAATTGAGGAAATGTGTGTTAAAAGTATAGAGTGATCTGCAAATTGCCTTCTCTAATAAATTTCTAGAGGAAACATTTTCGAAATTTAAAATAAAAATTCAGAAATATATAATGGAAAGAAAGTTATTCGATTTTTAAATGGTAGAGCGACTTATGGGTCCCCCTGTGAATTTTTAGTAGCAAGAAATTAGGAAAATTAAGGAAAATTCACTCAGCAATAATATAAGGAAATAAGAAAAATTAAGGAAAATTCATTGAAAAATAAAGTAAGGAAGATTACGGAAAATTCTTCAGCAATCAAATAAGATAAATTCCTTCAGCAAGAAAATAAGGAAAATTAAGGAAAATTCATTTAGCAATAAAAATGCTTGCACCCTAATCATACCCTACAAATCAATAATCCTACTTTCACAGAGTGTACGTTCGTACATCCGACTCAAGGGAAGGATGGTTGCCGATGGCTATTTTGATGCAAACCGCCCTCAGCGAGGACTCAGCGGCTGGACATCGACCGGAGGACTCGCAATTTCGAAGAGAGTAAGTCTCGAACTTCCGAAAAATTCTTCAAAATTTCCCCTTATTAACCATTCTATCGCTATTACAGGGCGGTAGTGAAAGAATTAGTCGAGACTGAGGAAGAATTTGGCAGGGACCTTCAGCTGGTCGTTGAACGTTACCTAAAACCCCTCGACAATCCGGACGTTCCGCGAATCGTTCGCGACAATAAAGACATCATTTTCACGAACCTGAAGCAGATCGCCGATTTCCACAACACGTACGTATGCTCGATGAAACAGATTGGCGAAAGGGGAGAAACTTCTCACTGCGACACTTTGGGCATTCGTTACAAGAAACCCTCTGAAAAAACCAAACATAATTCTCACATAAATAGGAATCAAAAAATTACTACTCCTTTCTCTTTCTTTCTTTGGTATTATACGAATGGATAAATTGAAATGGAAAAAGAAACACATGCACAGGCACACACACGGGATACATTATCGAAATACATTATTCTCTCTTTAGCGAAACGATGTGTGAGCAACGTAAGTTTGATAACGTGGCATACTTTGTGTGATCGTGTGCTAATCTATATCAGTAGATGTGTAATTACCACGATGTGTTGCTTTTTCGATAGTTTTTAACAACCCTTTTCATCGTTCTCTGCGAGCACGCTTCGATTGACTCTGTCAGAGTGGACTTTATTCTTCCATAGGAAGACTGCGGAGGTGATAGATATCGCGGTTTCAGTGGAATGGTCCGTTAGATGTCGGACAACGCGTGGAAGAATGGTTTTACGGAAATAATCGTTCTTTTCTAGGGAATGATAATTTTTTTCTAATTCTTCCTCCTGATTTCCAGTAGAATACACAATCCTAAGTCAGACAACGCGTGGAAAAATCGTTGCACAGGAATAATAATTATTTCCTTCTGATTTTCAGTAGAATACTCAGTCCTAAGTCAGACAACGCGTGGAAAAATCGTTGCACAGGAATAATAATTATTTCCTTCTGATTTTCAGTAGAATACTCAATCCAAAGTCAGACAACGCGTGGAAAAATCACTGCATAGGAATAATAATTATTTCCTAGAGAATAATAAGTATTTCCTTCTGGTTTTCAGTAGAATACTCAGTCCTAAGTCAGACAACGCGTGGAAAAATCGTTGCATAGGAATAATAATTATTTCCTTCTGATTTTCAGTAGAATACTCAATCCAAAGTCAGACAACGCGTGGAAAAATCACTGCATAGGAATAATAATTATTTCCTAGAGAATAATAAGTATTTCCTTCTGATTTTCAGTAGAATACTCAGTCCTAAGTCAGACAACGCGTGGAAAAATCGTTGCATAGGAATAATAATTATTTCCTTCTGGTTTTCAGTAGAATATTCAATCATAAGTCAGACAACGCCTGCAAAAATCATCCCACGAGAATAATAATTCCACTTTTCAGTAGAATACTCCATTAAAAATCCACCAACGCGTGAAACACTTGTCCCGCGAGAATAACAATTCTTTCTCTCCACGTTTCAGTAGAACGTTCCACTAAAACTCAGCCGACCGATGGAAGAATAATTTCACCGAAAGCGTTCCTCCGAAAAAAAATACTCAACTCTCTCCCCCCATTACTCCAAGTAGAAAACAGACTGTAAATTCACTTGTGCCCCACCCCACGTGTATTAATTAATAACAATTTCACAAGCCTCCCTTTTGATGTAGTTCTTCGTAGTTTAATCAGCGCATAGAAGAGATCATCGAGTATTTAATGGTCATTACTTATACGTGTATATGTTTCATCCTGAATGTCGCACTGAAAAAAATAGTCCAGGAAGGATGCAGCCTTCACAGCACGTAGGCATGGTGTGTTTTTAGCGTGAAAAAATAATCGAAACCTTACTTAGATCATTCGGCAGGGTGTTGATCGAGGGTGTTAAGTATTACGCGGATCAGCCACGGATGCTGGGAAAAACTTTCCTACGTTTGGTAAGTCCCCGGGAAAAAAATTCTGCCATACTTCAAAAAAATAAATTCACAATTCAACTCTGTGTAAATTCTATTGAACAATTTTCGTTACTTAATTTCAGGAAAGAGACTTCGACAAGCACGTGGCTTACTGCAGGGACGAACCAGTGGCCCAAGAGTTTCTTCAAATGAACGACGTGGTACGAGAATACTTTGAGGTGAGTCGCTTAATTATAATACACTCGTGAAACACGATATTTATTAACTGAAAAAGCATCGATTCGCTGAAAGGTATATACTTAGATCACTAGAACTAGGCAATAGGATGGTAAGAAAGATTTCTGTCCGTCTTCCACGTAGTTTGGCGTCGCGACGCCAGCGTCTATAATAACACGGCGGGCTTGCTCCAAACATAATTCATCTATGACAATTTTACCGACACGTTTTCTATATATAGTCCTACGCGTTTCGACGATTTAAGAATATCCTCTATTTATACCAATTTAAATCCTATTTATAAACAACGATTATGCACTTTGTCTCTTTTTTTAAACATTTTATCTATTCCTAGCTTCTTCCTTCCTTTTCTAATCAGTATTTTATACGAATTTTCGATATCGAAGGAATTATCGAAGAAGCGTGGAGAGTTCCAGGAGGTTTCCACGAGTGAAGTGGCCGCGTTCGCATGAATCGAAGGAAATTTCGCAATTACGTAACAAGCGGGGGTAAGCGGGCGTCTGTCCAGCCCTCGAAATAGCTCGGTTTATTCTTAACGTAAGGAACATCTTTCGCCTCCTCTTACTTATGCACGATAGCCTCGCGGCGAGAGACGCGTGCCACGAAAAGAAAAGGAAGAAAGCTAGCGACGTTATCGTGGCGACGTCACCGTTCCCCTGTCATTACGCGATGACAGCAGCCAGCGTAATCTCTGTCGAGGGGAGGGCAAAAAAGGAGGCGCACGCCAGACGAGTCTCAGCTGTAACCACGTCGATCCGATGGGTCTTCGAATTCTACTGCTGATCTTCGCTCGAAATTCGTCAGGGTGCTTCTACGATTTTTCTTTTCTTGTGTTTTTTTCATTCTGAGGATATCTTCCGTCGAGAAAATATTTTTAACGCGGCAGGATCGATTTGCTCTGGTTCGGAGATTGGAGAAAGAGCGTATTGGGGTATTTTGGAAGATGAGGACGAGCCTTTACGGTTGATGCAGACTTTCAGTTTTTTGGTGTCTCGGATATTTTGGAAGATGAGGACGAGCCTTTATGCATAATGCAGATTTTTAGGTTTTCATATTTTGGAAGATGAGGACGAGCCTTTATGCATAATGCAGATTTTTAGGTTTTCATATTTTGGAAGATGAGGATGAACCTTCATGCATAATGCAGATTTTTAATTTTAGGATACTTTGGATATTTTGAAAAATTTGGGTGAATATAGATTTTTAATTTTTGATATTTTGGAAGATGAGGATGAACCTTTACGCTTAATGCAGACTTTCAATTTTTTGGTATTTTGGATATTTAGCAAAATGAGGACGAGCCTTCACACACAATACAGATTTTCAATTCTAGGATACTTTGAATATTTTGAAAAATTCGAAAGAATATAGATTTTTAATTTTTGGATATTTCGAAAGATGAGAATGAACCTTCACGCGTAATACAGATTAAAAATTCTTGAATATTTCGGAAAATGTGGACGAACCTCCGCACACAAGACAGATGTGGTATTTCTGGACTTATCAAGAGAATGATTGGACGCCCAGGCGTGAGCGGCTGCGATATACGCACCGTGCACTATGGTGATTTGTTGTTTCAAATATGTTGCTTGCTTTCTTTCCGTGACTCGATTCCCCGTTATTTCTGGAACTTGACTCAAGTGAACACCGCGAGATTTTCACACGATATAGCGGCCGTGTATTCATTTTAATGACCCGAAATTAAAATTAGATCGCGCGATAGAACTACCTTGCCGAACGTGTCCGATTTCAAAGCGGCGCGCATTAGGTGCATTAAGATCCTTCTCGTAGATTTCTCATATTTACGACATGTCCACGCGTGTCTCATACGCGTTCAATTCACGTTTATTTCTACCACCATCCTTAAGATCGATTTGACACTGAGAAGACGTCTATGTGTTACTTCTTACTATCCCACGAGACAAGTCTTACAAAATTACAACACGAATAATGCTCTTATTTCGATAGAAAAAATAGAACAACTTAAACAAAGAGATAATACAATTCTCCATCAAAAATCGAATCGAATATATATAAGAAACTTTTTTCTACGAGCCTCTATCTCCAAGAAAATCGCCTTCGAAATTACTGGAGGGCGCGCACCCAGAGCACAACCCCATACATTTTCAAACTCCATTATCTCAAGAACTATAACTCGTAGAATAAAACTTCATTCACATTTTCGATTCGTTTTTTCATGCACAATCGTTTGGCACCGAAATCTCTTACGAAACACGCTCGTTAACTATCGAAAAAGCGTTCGAGATCTTCCAACGGAGGTGGTCCAAATGTCAAGGGTCACTTTCTTTAATATCCTCCTTGTTTCTGGAAGAAGATCAAGAAAGTGTATGGGGAGCAGAAGGTGCCCGCGATCCGTAGGATTGTTCGTGTTGTTTTTGTGCGTGGTCAGTCCACGAGTTCGTCCGGCGTCGCTAAGTATAGCCGTGGCCGTATTGGTCTCCCGACTGGTGTTTTTCGGTAACCACCGACTAGTGGATCCCCCTCGAGGAAGAGAATCGGCGGAAGAGCAGAGACCTGGTCCAGTCTGAGAGCAGCCACGGTGTCCTCTTCGAACCAACGACTCGAAACACACGAACAACGGTGTTTACCTCTCTTGACCTCCGTTCAGGTGCGCCAGCCCTTCCACCTTGATCATTTTTTCACGTGCACCTCACACAAGTTCTTCATTCATCTTCGAGTATCGAGTACTCGTTCGAACGTCGGCAGTTTCCTTGAAATTTCTTCAATTTTCAGTGCACAAGACGTTTCTTCTTTTTAATTAATTTATAAAGTAATTCTTTGTTTTTTTACTGTGTTTCTTTATGGTGATTCATTAAATCGGTTCTTGTTCCACGTTCTGATGTGTTAATTTTGTGAAAATTGCTCTCGAAATTTTACTAGATCGATTTTTATTCAGTGACAGTGACAGACGGTTGACTTTAAATTTGAAAGAGAAGAAAATTCGTAAGTTACGAAGTCTCTCGATAATTAGAACGTTTCGAAATACCGTGAAAATGACGGGTCGAGAAAATTTCGTCGCGTTAATGCACGTTGTTGCGCTTTTAGACTGTCATTCGTCAGGTTGTCTCGCGTGTCACCAGATTCACCTAGATTGTCTTAGCTGATCGATAGGAAATAGTTGCGTGGAAAATCCAGTCGCATCCAAAAATACGCGTCTCTTCGTCCTGGTGTCAAATTACGCCGGCGAACAATTCGCTGTTCTACGATGGGAAATTCCGTTGGCTGATTATTCAACTACTTGCCTACTTTCGGTATTTCTTCACACCGACGGAACAATTTCACAAAATTTTCCAATAATTTCAGTTAAAAAATACACAAGCCTGGAAAATTATTTAAAGATATTTCTCAATAATTTCAATGCTTTTACAATTTTTTCTTTTTCCAAATTCTATACTGTGTCTCGTTTCTCAAGCACTGTAAGAAAAATGTAAGAATGGTGGAATTGTTTGCAGGAGCTGAGCCAGACTCTCCGTGACGACAAAAGCCTATCGGAGCACTTGAAGCTTCCGATACAACGCATAAACGACTACCAGCTCCTGCTCAAGGTAAAGTTACACGAGAACTCATCCCTCGATACCCACTTTTCATCGTCCACCGCGAGAAATTATCAACACACTCTCACGGATCGAAAATACATTTCAAGGGTGTTATGACAGAAATACAGCATGCTGAGTGTATCTTTTTGAAAGCATTCCAGCAGTTATGCATAATACACCCGCATTGCTGATATTCGTGTGAAATCGTCGCTGAAATTTGATCACCGAGTGTGTTTTATGCGTGTTCCTCGACAATCGCGATTTTAATTCTACGTTATATCATTTTCGAACAAATTGCAAACGAATATTCCAGACGATATATACCACACACGTGAAATTTATAACAGACGATACGAAACAACGTAAGCTGGCCAAAAAGCTCGTGTCTCATTTTCTATTTTCACAAGTTTGTTGTAACAGAAAAGAAAGTGAATCATCGAAATTTCATTGCCAAGTCGTCACACTTTTCTGATTCTTTCTCAGCTTCTTCGACTTGAAAAAGTTTCGTCGTACAGCGAATGTTGTCTGTATTGGAGAATATTATAATCGATTTTGGCGACGAAACACGGCGACCTGTAGCATCGACACGTGACCTATATCCGCGGCGAAAATTTCGTTCTGTCAAGACGAAAATAGCACGGCGCTAAAATACTTCCCTGTTCGCCTTGAAAACGCATTCCGAACGATTAATTACCATATTCCCTTGGGTCGAACATCGAGTCTTCTCTCGTCACGTCTTTCTGCAGCGCGAAAATGAACGAGTACACGCAGAGACTTGAGAGTGAACTGTTCGTCTTTGTTCGACATGGGGTAAGACGATCGCGTGGAATACCAGAGAAAATAGAATTGCACGTGATCGATAACGATCGTGTTATTGGTCCGAGATACAGTCTCGGTTTATTACCGGTAAATATTTGGCTTAGGACAGGAGTCAGTCTGGGCCGAGTGCCCGGAAAATAGAGGCGACCAGAGACGCTGAAAACAATACGAAACTCGGCGAAACTATTTTTTAAATTACCTTACGTCGGGTTGAGCTTAATTCGGAATTGTATTTTCCATCGGTAGATACGAATGGAAGAGATAAATCGAATGGATCGTTGTTTAATTGTTGACTTAAGGTGAGTTTAGTTTCGGTGATCTCGAAAGACGCCATTTTGGTGACACGTATCGATCGAGCAAACGCGAAAAAAATTCGATGCGTTGATCGACGCTTTGGTTTTTCATTTTTATGATAAAATAAATGAATTAAATTATTGATTAATTTGAATTTAAAGACGCGTTGAGTTTCGGTGAAGGACGCCATTTTGGTGGCAACTATCGATCACGCAAACGCGAAAAAAATTCGAATGCGTTGATCGACGCTTTAGTTTTTAATTTCTATGAAAAGATGAATTAATTAAATTATCGGTTGATTCGAATTAAAGCCGGGTCGAGTTTCATCGATTTTGATGACAAGTATCGACGACACGAACGCGTGGAGAATTGGATCGCGTCGAACGACGCTTTCGTTTTCACATTTCCACGATATCGTACGCGTCGATATATATGTAGATCAAGGGAGGGCAGAAAGTTCTCAACGGTGTGTATGCAATACCGCGACAGAGAACGTTTCACGTTGGTGTACGAAGGCGAGTGGGCGCCGTACGGATTTAGCGAGCTAAAAACGGGTCATCATCGCGACGTTATCCTTCCCGCCGCTCCTCTCTGTCATAGAAAAACTGTGCGCGAAATCTATCGACCGAGAGGAATCGAAAAATTCCTGTAAAATCCACGGAAATTTTAATTTAGAATTCAAAAATTTTTGGCGCCAAATCTATCGATCGAGAGAAGTAAAAGACAATTGTATAGAGTAGAGATTTCAATTCGAATTTGAGAAACTTTTGGCAATCGTTTTTCAAAAATCTTGTTTTTGCTAAAAATTGTAGCGCAAGTTTTAATGATTTTGGGGGTTTTTCTGTTTAGCGTGAAATGAATATTGGAAAATGATTTTACAGGAGCTGGTGAAGTATTCGACCCGACTAGGCGAAAACTGCGACGACCTCCAAAAAGCTTTGGAGTTGATGCTAGGTATCCCGCACAGAGCGACGGATAACAAGTTCATAAGCAATATCGAAGGGTACAAAGGGAATATCCATAAGCTTGGAAGATTACTCACGCACGTGAGTATATTTTCAGATGAATTTTCGCTTAACCCTCTGACTTTGGGCAAAGATCCTTATCAAGGAGTTCTATCGTTGCAAAAAAATTGTAACTTTTCTTCTCATTTATAAGACTGAGAAATTATGAGTGAAAAAAGAATCGTAAGTCAAGGGGTGATAGTAATTTGATAATTATATTAATTGACAAAGTGTATGATGTTTAATTGAACAGGAGTGGTACACGGTGATCGATAAAGACGGCAAGAACAAGGAGAGGTATCTGTTTCTGTTTAAAGCTCGAATACTCGTCTGTAAAGTCCGACGAATATCGGAAGACAGATCTGTCTTCGTTTTGAAAGACATCATTCGGGTGAGTAATTTCTCAAAAATAGGTAAAACTTAGCAAGAAAAATTTACGATCGATCTATTTGAAATTTAGCTACCCGAAGTAGAAGTGAAAGATCATCCAGAAGACATAAGGTCCTTCGAGCTTCACAATCCAACTAGTTCCGCTTATCCAATCACTTTAGTAGCCCACAAGGATCCCGTGAAAGTCTACTGGCTGAAAGAAATTCGACAGTACGCCAGCGATGTTGTAGCTCTTGCTGAACACGCTGCGGACGATTTGCAATTAACCGAAGTACCAGAAACTAAGGAAGAGATCAAAGGAAATCCGGGCAATCCGCAGAAGATAGAAGGAAATCCAGGAGCGAAAGGTAATCCGGGACCAAAGGGGAATCCAGAACCAGAGAAGGTGTCAGGTAATCCAGGACCGGAAAAGGTTCAAGGAAATCCTGACGGAAAGGCGGAAGCGGAAGGAGCAGACATGTCGCGAAGATACTCTTCCAGTCGATACAGCAGCTCTTCGAAGGTTGTCGAAGGTAGAGGATAGATGTATAAATTTTGATTATTGGGTATTGAGCACTCTCAGTACCGTGGAAATTACACTGAGAAATTTCACTCTCGAGAGAAATTCGAGATAGCTTTGCTCTCAAATTGGGTGCTCAGCTCTCCGCGAACACTCTCAGTACCGCGTAAATTACACTGAGAAATTTCACTCTCCAGAGCACTCTCAGTGCCGCGTAAATTACACTGAGAGATTTCACTCTCCAGAGCTCTCTTGGTACCGTGTAAATTACACTGAGAAATTTGTCTCTCGAGAGAATTTTACGATAGTTTTCCTCTCAAATTGGGTGCTCAGCTCTCCACGAACACTCTCAGTACCGCATAAATTACACTGAGAAATTTCACTCTCCAGAAAACTCTCAGTGCCGCGTAAATTACACTGAGAAATTTCACTCTTCAGAGCACTCACAGTGCCGTGTAAATTACACTGAGAGATTTCACTCTCCAGAGCTCTCTCGGTAACGTGTAAATTACACTGAGAAATTTGTCTCTCGAGAGAATTTTACGATAGTTTTCCTCTCAAATTGGGTACTCAGCTCTCCGCGAGCAATCTCAGTACCGCGTAAATTACGCTAATTTTGACTCTCCGCGATCATTCTCAGTACTGCGTTAATTACACTAATAAATTTGACTCTAGAGAGAAACTCGCGATAACTTTACTCTCAAATAAACCCAATTTTTGCCTCGAAGAAAACCCCAATTTTTCCATCCCTTCCTTCATTCTTAAAGAGTATGCATCAGTGACCAGCAGCCAAACAGCCACCTCAGCCTACATGGAGTCATCGAGCAGTGCAACGAGGATGGAATCCAGCTCTTACCAGGGCGGAAATTCGCTAGAAACGAGATCGAGCACAGCAAGAATCGAGGGTGGCAGTGGAATAGGAAAACCCGTGTTCGTGAAGACCCTAGAAGGCACCAACGTCGAACGTAAGTACCCAATTTTCTCAACAATCCAATAAACACAGAAATTTGAGTCATCATAATTCAAACCTAAAGACTCATTGTACGAAGAAACGAAGAAAATCATCGACAGTGTAATTTTCGAAATTTCTATACCTGAGGTCCGATTGTATATGTTTAGAAGTAAAACGAACTTTCTTCGAGCAGGTGACATAAGATGGAATTTTTACTGTTCTAGCGTTACCAGAAAATAACGTGGAAATGATACACGCCGTAGGTAAAGTGACACAGAATTTCACTACTATCTCATCATCTACTGTACCGCACTCTCTTTTTCTTTGTCACTATTCTGTCGTATATCGTTGAATATTCTTCTACTCTGTACCTTTTCTTCTAGCCAGCTGAGTAAAACTGCTTTTCTACACGTTCCACTAGGCGGTTGGTCAAGCTTTAACTGCTAATCCTAGATATTACGTACTCTTGTCATCACATCATCACACAAACACACCATTCTTCACATTTTTCACACTTCCAAACACTATTCTGTATATTTTGCACACTTATAGATTTAACTACAATCTGCTTTAATCGTTGTCGTCTATACATACATTTTTCAAGTAGATACTCTTTTCTGCGATTGTTTTATCGAGTATTTTTTCTAGCTACCCTGAAGTTTTACGTAGGAAAAGCACTCTCCACTTTGCACCACGCTTCTTTCTTATCGTCAACTAAATACAATAAACCGTAGATAAATGTCGTGAGAGAACGAAACAACGTTTTTTGTCACTGTTGCGAGTTTTACGTTTATACTGGGCCCACCCTTTGCTAATTTTTTGTAAATACAAATCGAACAAGCGAGATACTTCAGTTTTGGTCGCTGCTACGTCCACTGGGATTCCCCCTTTTGATTATTCTTCCGAAGAGATCAACTACTCTCGATCAAGTAGTACCGTATTGTACATAAATAGTTAAACGATGAAAAAGTAGCCAGTGACTCGTGTCATTTTTCTTCTCTTTCGTTGATTTTGTTAATTGTTCGTTTGAACAGCTGGGGAAATGGCTGCGTTCGAGTGCACTTTGTTAAACACCGATTCGTCGACGAGAGTGCAATGGTTGAAGGACAACAAACCGTTGGAGGACAGGCTGGCAGATCGCATAACAGCGTCTGCAACAGGGAAGACCTTCAAACTTCATATTCAGAACGTGTTGGAGTCTGATTCTGGCATCTACATCGCCAGAGCCATGAATACCGATGGACAGGCTACCTGTACTGCTCAATTAGTCGTGCAAAAACGTGGGTTTAGTAATTTTTATGTTGCGATTGATAAAAATTTGTGAGAAGGAGGTTAAAGAATTTTCTTTTTCCATGATTAAATGTAGTTACTCCCGAGGAGAAGAAAGCACGAGCAGAAGCTAATGCACCTATATTCTTGGTGCGTCTTAAGGACACTGAACTTTTGGAGAACACGTATCTACGTTTCATGGTGAAAGTGAAGGGAGATCCTAATCCAGAAATGAAATTGTGAGACGATAAAATAGATTGTTACTTTTTGGCAATTTTTTGGGGCAGAATCGTTTGAATATTTTAACTTTAATATTTGAATATCTCAATATTTCAATATTTCAATATTGTAGTGTTTTAATGTTTTAATATTTTAATATTAATTTCATTATATTTATTACCATATATTTCGTAAAATAGCTACAAAGACGACGTTCAAATCGACGCGAGCCATCCACGAGTCAAGATCGTCAGCGAGCAATCTGACAAAGGCTTCTACGAGCTAGTGATCGCTGACGTCCAAAAGCAGGACGCTGGAAAATACTCCTGCACCGCGAAAAATAAATACGGAGAAGCCTCCTGCGAAGCAGCTGTGACTGTGTCTGACGACAAGAATCTATATCTACCCGAAGACTTCCTGGAACCAGGCATGGAGCCACAATTCACCTGGCTGCGTGATGGAAAACCATTCGATCCTGAGGAACGCTTCAAAGTGTTGTTCCAGGATAACGAAGACACATTAGCGTTGGTGTTCCAGCATGTCAAACCTGAGGACGCTGGTCTTTACACCTGTGTCGCTCAGACTAGCACAGGTACAGTGATTTGGACACGTAGAATTCACTTATAATTTAGATAAACACCCGATGTGTTATACTAATTAGAGAAACATTTGACGCACAGGTAACATCAGCTGCAGCGCTGAACTGACGGTTCAAGGAGCAGTGCACCAGCTACTGAAGGATCCAGAGCAGCCAAAACTGCGTTCAGAGGCGAGACATTCTGAAGTGAGCGCTGGTGGATCAGCAATGTTGGAGTTACAGATCAGAGGATACCCGAAACCGGACATCAAATGGACGAAAGACGGAGAAGAGATCGTTGCTGGTGGAAGATACAAGTACCTCTGGGAGGATGAAGAATCTATGTCCCTTGTGATCAAGAACGTAACAGCGAAGGATGCAGGTGTCTACACAATCAGAGCAAAGAACGAGTTAGGCGAAGACACGACTCAAATCGAGTTGATCGTGAAATCCGCGCCTAAGGTCATCAAGAAGCAAGCAGATATAACAGGTCTGGTAGATGAAACATTAACGATGACTGTACAAATCGAAGCAACACCTGCACCGGAAGTGAAGTGGTACAAGGATGGTCAAGAAATTCGCGAAAGCGATCGTATCAGTATCATCAAAGAGGGCAGCGAAACTTACAAACTCACGATAAAGAACGCACGTTTGGAAGATGCTGGTTCTTATTCGATCGTTGCTCGTAACGAGGTTAATCAGACGACGGAGATCTGGAAGCTGAAGGTGCTTAGTCCACCTAAGATCACGAAGAGATTAGGGGAACCACAGATACTGAACCAGGGAGACACTCTTATATTATCCGTGGAGGTTGATTCCGTGATGCCGCCAAGTGTTAAATGGTACAGGGAAGGAGAGATGGTTGTAGAAGAGAGTAGAGTGAAAATGACTCGAGAGGGTAAGAAGTTCACGCTGAAGATCACGGGTATAACGAGCGAAGAGCCGGGAATTTATAGGGCGGAAGTTACCTCGGACCATGGTGTGACTTCTGATGAAACTAAGATTCAGGTGAGAATGGGATCAGAGAATGGTACACCCACTCACTAACTCACCCACTCACTCACTTACTCTCCCACTCGTTTACTCTCCCACTTATTTACTCACTCACCCACTCACTCACTTACTCTCCCACTTATTTACTCACTCACCCACTCACTCACTCTCCCACTCGTTTACTCTCCCACTCGTTTACTCTCCCAGTCATTTAAACTTCCACTGATTTACTCTCCCACTCACTTACTCTCTCACTCACTCAGATATCACCTACTCACTAACTCACTAACCTACTCACTCACTCGGTTTTCATTTCTTTCCTCCACCAATGACCAACTACCAAAATGAATCAGTTCCTCTTATCACTTTCAGGTACGAGGTCTCCCACGATTCAAGTCAAGAATGAGCGACGTAACGGTAAACGAAGGCGCCACGAACATCGAGTTCAAAGTAGAAGTCGACGGCTGCCCAAAACCAAGCGTCCACTGGTACATAGGAGACGTAGAGATCACAGAGAAGCGAAAAGAATTCGTTCGTTCGGAAGAAGGAGATTTCTACAAACTCACAATCTCCGAAGCAAAAGCAGAACTTAAAGGAACATACACCTGCATACTAAAGAACGAATACGGTGAAATTAAGAACAGTTCCACGTTGATCGTAAAAACTCGACCAAAACTGCTCAAAAAACTCGCCGATCAACGAATCAAAGAAGGAGACACCTTGAAATTGATCTTGGAAGTATCCGGTACACCTGATCCCGACGTGAAATGGTACAAAGACGGTCAAGAAGTCTCGGCAGACGCGAGAATTAAGATAACGAGGGACAGTAAACGTCAAGAGAGCTACGATCTGACGGTGACATTGGTAAAAGGTTCAGACGCCGGTGTCTACGAGGTTCGAGCTGAAAACGAATTAGGCTACGTGACCAGCAAGAGCAAGATCATAGTGATGAGTAAGAATCTTAATCTTCTATCGTTCCACGATACAATGGGGTTGAATTGTTGCGCTGCTCCATCGTTCCCTATTTCGTTTCGCTGCTAAATTCAACAGCTGCTTGCCTCAAATCGCCAAGATCAATCTTATTTACGGCAGAATTTTCCAGAATTAAAAAGAATCGATGGAGCAGCTCTCCAAATGCCCAACACACTGCCCGTATACACGATCTTAATTTTTTGAGAAACACACCCAGAGAATCGTCGATTTAAGCCAACGTTCAGTGTAAGTAGAAGAAAGGTACGGTGTTGATATCGATGTGACGTTCAAGCTTAAAGATTCACAGACAGTCGTTCTCCAAGAAAACCTGTGAAAAATCACAGAATCGAGTCCAATTTACCAAAATTATCGCGTCAAAGATCGAACATCGACGTGAACTGTTTGTTCGTGTCTTCATCCTATTGTCTCTCTGTTTCTCTCTCTGTACGTTCGTATATGTATATTAAAAGCTCGACTTTTTCTTTTCTTCGTGTCCCGTTTTTAATCGTTCTTAAAAAAAAAATTCTAAAAAATATTCTTACGACGTATGTATATATATATATATGTAGATTTGCTATTTTCTATGTGTTGATTGCTCCCCCTATTTGTCGTTAATTGCCGGGATTACCAATTGTTTACCGTGGTCTTTGTCGAAACGGTGTTTGCAAACTGTGTGAATTCTATAGCGAAAACGGAAGAGAACGAGGTGGAAAAGACGATCGAGAAGATCAGCGTGGAGGAAGAGGAGATCGAAGTGCAGCAAGTGGAGGAGACGGAGGTGGAACCGAAGAAGAAGGAACAAGCCGAGGAATCGGGACCGGAAGGTAATCGAGTAACGATCGTCGGCAGAAATGCGACGAAAATACAAAAGAATAGATAAATTTGCAAACGATCGTGAATAACGCTGAAACGAGTGAGCTGTATATTTGTATTACGTATAGCAGAGAAAGAGAAGTCTTGGTCTGTGCTATAGAAACGCTTAGAAAGCTCTAGAAAAAAAAAAAGATAAATGAAAAGATCGAAAGTTCCACGATCCACGCTAATGTCGCAAGATTTTGGTAAGATTTTTTGGAAACGTGTCGGGTTTTTTAATCGTTTTAGTACAGAAGGTATCCTTTTTGTATTTTTTGAACTGAAAGGTAGATATATGAGTATAAATGTATAGTAGTGTATTTTTTGTGTTTGAGCAAAACCAGCTTCGCGTAATTTTCTGTTTTAACAACGAACACTACGAGTAATCTTTTTTTTTTTGCTCCGTTTTCTTCTTTCTACTTCTTTTCACCGGAAATCCTTGCGATAAAACCTTTAACAAGTTGCAAAACACTGACACGGTTAGAAGCATAAAATATAGAAAACGGCAAGATAAAAAATACAGTACGAGTAGAGACTTGCCGATTTTAGCTGATATTAAAATGATTCGAGAGAGATGGCCGGTTAAAAGCTTAGTGGTAGAAACGTAGCCCAAAAACACATGTCTGATAAATTCAGGTCGAGTGAGACTGGAGACACAAAACGTCCAAGTAATGCGGGGACAGGGTGACACGATAACAATCTCTGTGGCCTCCACGACGACCCACGAAGCAATACTCACAGGTAAATCTCGCACACGCTGAACAACGTCTCGCCATTTTAAACGTCTCTCATGTAACCATCGTCGCAAATTAGGGGATTTCGGAAGATATTCAATATTTTACCATTTTGAAATTTTGAAAAATCATCAGTCACGTAGATCCCAAACTCTCAGAGTTTGGAGATTCACGTCCCAAGCTTGAGAGCTTCGAGATTTCACGCCACAAGCTTGAGAGCTTTGGGATTTCACGCCCCAAACTTGAGAGCTTGGGGCTTTCAATATTCCACTTCGAAATTTTGGGAATTTTACCATTTTTAAATTTTGAAAAATTTTCAATCACCGAGTCCCCAAGATTGAAACCTTGGGATTTCACGCCCCAAGCATGAGAGCTTTGGGATTTCACGCCCCAAACTTGAGAGCTTGGGATTCTCAATATTTCATTTCGAAAATTTGGGGATTTCGCCATTTCAAAATTTGGAAAATTATCGATCACAGAGTCCTCAAGCTCTCAGAGTTTGGAGATTCACGCCACAAGCTTGAGAGCTTTGGAATTTCATGCCCCAAACTTGAGAGCTTGGGATTCTCAATATTTCATTTTGAAAATTTGGGGATTTCGCCATTTCAAAATTTGGAAAAATTATCAATCTCAGTGTCCTCAAGCTCTCAGAGTCGGGAGATTCATGCCCCAAGCATGAGAGCTTTGAGATTTCACGCCCCAAACTTGAGAGCTTTGAGATTTCACGCCCCAAACTTGAAAGCTTGGGGCTCTCAATATTCCACTTGGAAATTTTGGGAATTTTACCATTTTTAAATTTTGAAAAATTTTCAATCACAGAGTCCCCAAGATTGAAACCTTGGGATTTCACGCCCCAAACATTCAAGCTTGAGGACTCTCAACATTCCACTTCAAAATTTTGGGCCTCTCCCCACTTGAAAATCTGAAAAAATCACCAGTCACAAAGTCCCCAAGCGTGAGAGCAAATAACGCCACACCGAGCACAGTTTTCGCGAGCCTCGGTCTACGTACATAAATCTCTCTACCAGAGAGATCGTCGCGAAAGTTTCCGTCGCCTTCCGCCACTGCCTCGTCGTCGAGTAGCACGGATCGTCTCTCTAGTAGGTAGAGTAATGAAAAGGGTGTTATGACCAGCCCGAGCATTCACAGGTCCCGACGAGAGGCACACTATCAGCAAGATGACCGCGACAAAAGTCGAGTGCCAGGAGTTGAACACAGACGGTCCTGGAGTCGAAGAAATCGCCACCTATAGTTACAGCGTACAAGAGGAATCCGTGCAGAAACCGCAGAACGGCGTGTTGATCGAGGAATTCTCGGAAAACAGCGAAATGGATAACAAATCGAAGCTACAAGTCAACCGCGGTGTATCGATCGTTTCCATCTCCGACGACGAATCCACCTTAAAAGCGATTTCAAGAGACGTTAGCACGGAGGATATGCAATTCGCTGAATTATCGGAAGATCTGAAACTAACCAACGGATCCTACGAAGAATTCAATGGAAATGGACGTCTATCTGACGAGAAAACACCAGACGAAGGTAAACTGTACAGAGGATCGTTGATCACAGAAACGATCATAGAGGAACGATCTATAGAAGAGTCTCCGTCTGAAAGATCGACGCAAGAAACCGTGAAACTAGCACGATCAGCTGTTCTCGAGAACGGCAGCAGCTCTAGAAAGCAATCTATAGTGAATCTAGAACAACCGCAAACTCCAACGATCGAGGAGAGCAAATTGACGAAGCACAAGATCGAACGTGTGAATTCAACGGCGGAGAAGGTAGTCGAGACGAGTTTGGAGGAGGAAAATCGTCGTAGAGGTTCGTTGCAGAATGGATTATCTAGGCAGAGTTCGAAAATAGAACGAATGGATTCGACGGAGTCGAGGAAAGCTTTGGAAAGATCGATCTCGAGGGAAGGTTCGTTGAAAGCGGCCCTAAGCGCCGACGAAGAGGCCGACGAAGAGTTCGAGGCTCTTCTAGATCGTGTCAAGCGACAACGCAGCGTTCTGGACGATATCCTTGAGAAAGAATCCTCCAGGGACTCAGGTACGACAGGATCGATCCATCGATCGTTCGAACGAAGTTCGAGGTCTGACACGATTATTGGAAGCGTTTCTTCTTTCACCAGCACCCGCTTCGATGCAAGGGCATGATGGTTTTCTCCTTGTATCTGTTTCTTAGTTTCACGTTTCACGTTAATTCATCATCGTGTATGTCTGCTTGCATGTTATCTACCTAAGAAGCGTGCAACCAGGTTTAATCATTCTCGAGGGTCGTGTGTAAATTGCGTTCTTTCTTCGAGAAACGAGTCATCGTGCTAAAACTGTGAAATGTACAGGGTGATGCAGGTGAAGTGTGACAGTTTAATATTATCGAAATTATTGGCGATATGAAAAATTTTATTAGACAAAATTTAGAGAGCACACTTTTCGGTGTAATTTAAATTTTTGTGGATGAAGGTTTCAAGGAAATTTTGTGGTAATCATTTTTTTTTTTTTTAACGAAATTGTATACTTTTTTAACGTATGTATGCAAGTTTAATTCATACTCAGATGAATTTGACGAATATAGTCGCAAATGATCAAAGAAGTGATATTGACAATTGTCACCACTTTTTGGTGTAATTTAAATTTTTATGGAGGAAGATTGCAAGGAAATTTTATGATCATTTTTTTATGTTAATGTTAATTTAATTCACGCTTAGATGAATTTTATGAATGTAGTCACTCGAAGTAAAAAAATGATAACGTCAATTGTCACACTTTGCGCGCACCGCTCTCTGTATATCACGCAAGGGAATGTATTAAATTTTGTTAGCGCTTCTGTGCCCAATCCAGACACTTACTGCTTGTATATACCAGAAAACAGTGACTAGTCCAGAACCTGACCAGAGAGATCTTCGTCGTTTTCGATCAGGTAAGCGAGCACAAAAATGCTGGACAATCACAAATTACCACTAACGGCATACAAAAATTCTACAATACACAGGGTGCTTCACTAGTAACGGACATCTAAATTATCTACCCTAATATTGAGACTGAAAAAAGAATTTAAATGTCCATTGCAATTGAGACACTCTGTAGGCACGAAAAGGGAGGAAATTGTCCAGCATTTGACGTGGAAGAATTATAAAATAACAAAGCAGCACGTGGCAAACGCAACGACGCACTAGATGATGCACGGCAATAGAAACGGACTTTCCCACCTGAAAATCTTTTTTCAAAAGAAAAATTCTGACCCGTTGATTCTTCGTTTAGCACCTCCTCACATCCTCAAATCGACGATCAGCGACAAAACGATCTACGAGACTCAATCGGTGAAGTTCGAGATCCAAGCGACGTCTTTGCCGAGAGCTGACGGGAAATGGTTCAAGGATGGAAAACCACTTCGTTCTGGGGACCGTATAAGGATCACCAGCTCTGGAGAAAACTTCACGTTGGAGTTGAGCAAGGCTATTCTAGAGGACGAGGGAGTGTACACGTGTATGTTCTCGAACAAACTCGGTGAAGCTAGTACGGAAGGATATTTGACCGTTGGTACCGTGGACGATTTGAGGAGACCTAAGTTCATCGAACCTTTGAACGACGTGGACGTCGCGAAAGGGAACTCCGGAGAGTTTAAGGCCACCTTCACTGCTGATCCTGTTCCTGACATGATATGGTATGTTTTTTAGCGGTTTTTTGATGGTTTATTAGGTCACTTTTAACGAGATTGATTGCTTTTGTTCTATGCTTCACACGATGTGGATTATTATGTATGTTGTTATTTAATTCTAAGCTATTAGGGAGATTATCGATCTCTTGTTTGATGTTTGTGGTGCAATTTATGTGGTGTATAGTTATTGATATTCCACGTTTCTTTTAATATTTTTCCATGTGAAACTTTCTGTGTGGATCAAAATAGGGGACAAGTTTTTAACTTTTTAGAAGGTTGAATTCGACAATTTTCCAAAAAATTTTCTGAGTCGTTTAACACTCGAGATATTTTAGGAAATATATACTTTCGTCTTCAACTTTGAGGGTTGCTTTCACCCCTTCAACATGGATCACTGTCAATAAAAAGGATATTTTTCAGTCAACTATCACATAAATTTTCATGAAAATATATAAAGATACATATAAACTTCCTTGCAAATTTGAAAAAAAAATTCTCTAAATTCGCATAAATTTAAAAAGGTACTTCAAAGGTGAAGAAATCCCAGTTGACGACAGCCGCATAAAGTGCAACGTACTGAATAAACCAGTAGCGGACAAACTAACCGAATCGACAGTCACTTTAAGCATACCGAAATGCTCGAAAGAAGACACTGGCGAGTACACGCTGAAGCTGAAGAACAAATACGGCGAAGCTGAAGCCAGCGTAAGCAACGATTCGTAAAAAAAAAAACAATCTATTTTCAAACCTAAACACAATTATTACTAAAATTCTCAGGCTTTCTTGAATCTCCTATTACGTCCCGAGATACAAGATTTAAAGGACGTCGTCGCGCCTGTTGGAGACTCTCTCGTATGGGAGGCCTTCATCAAAGGAAATCCCAAACCAGACGTCACGTGGAGCAAAGATGGCACAATTCTGGAGAAAGACGAAAGATTCGATTTCGAGGAAGACAAGAGGGCCAGGAAATACAGGCTCATTATCAAAAGCGTCGAAGTGGAGGATAAAGGGACGTATACCGTAACAGCGAAGAATTATCTTGGAGAAGCTACTGCACAAGGAAACCTAACACCGCATAGTGAGTCTAACGATAACCACAATTTTCATTACTAATGTACAAGAATTATTTGAGAAAATCCAAGAAATGTTACACAATAACACGATCTAATTTTTCAGCCGAGATACCAGAATTCCTCACGACCCTGTCCAACGTGAGCTGCAAAGATCGCGACGAGCTAGAGCTGAAGGTTCGCGTAACAGGTATTCCCAAGCCAAAATTGACCTGGCTGAAGGACGGCAAAGAGATCCAAGAAGACAGTCGCCACAAAATTACCACACACGTGGATGGTATCGTAGACAGCACTTATTCCGTCACGACGTTCTCACAAAACGACGTTGGATGTGTAAAGGTTCAAGCTATCAACGTGGCCGGAAGTGCTGAGACTGCTTGCGACGTGAACATGCTAATGATCACGCCTTCCTTTGGACACATGCTGCCTAGATCGACAGAAGTTGACGAGGGTGATTGTTTGGAGCTTAAGGCTAAGATAGACGGTAGCCCGATGCCTGAAATAGCTTGGTTCAAAGACGGAGAGAAGATCGTTCCGGACGATCACGTGAAGATCGAGTCACTTCCGGATGGTAGCATTAAACTGACCATCGACTGCGTGAAACCTACAGACTGTGGAGCTTACAAGTTGGTTATCAGCAATTCCACTGGTGACCAGACTTCTTTGTGCGCTGTAGCTGTGAAACGTATGTTCTCTGTTCTAATTATGTGCCGGGTGATTGTTTTCTAAAGGCCTCAAACGTTCCTCATTAACTGTTTGCATTAAGGTGTTGAAAATTGGTATTCAACATCCAAGCATTTTTGTGCCCTTTTCTGTAAATTCTTGAACATGGTGACTTCCAGTTGTCTCTAATTTTTTCAGTAATTTGTGAATATAGAATTCTGAAGATACACTTCCTTCACCGTAAGCGTCCTGAAGTAACCTTTGTCGCGTGTACAAAGTTCCTGAGGAATATTTGGAAATTTTAACTAGAAAAGCACCCGATAAAATGTCTCATTGAGGAAGATACCGATGAGTTTAGAAACTGACTACGAAATGTAATTTCAGCTCAAAGAAGAAGACCATCCTTCACGAAACCACTGGAGGACACAAAGGCGATCGTTGGACAGCCGCTGAAATTGGAAGCTCAAGTGGTAGCTTTCCCGAATCCGCAGGTACAATGGTTCAAGGACGGTATACCGTTGAGACACTCGAAAGAAATCTACTACATGAACGAGCCGAACGGTATGATCGGTCTGAGGATCGATTACGCCCGCCCGGAAGATGCTGGCACGTACTCGATGGTCGTATCGAACTCGCTGGGCGAAACCACTGGCTCTGCCAAGGTGGAAGTCGAAGAGAAAGAGAAACGACCGGAATTCGTGACCACTCTTCAACCACTGACCGTGGTGGAAGGATTCCCAGCGAAGCTGGAGGTGAAACTTCTTGGAAAACCGCAACCACAGCTGCAGTGGTTCAAGAATGGCGAAGAGGTTCGTTCAGAAACATTTACCTATCACTTAAGATCATTTCTTAGATGAACATTAAATAATTTTATAGTGCAATATTTTCCCCCTTGAATACTACAAATTTCTTCTTTCATATTTTCTTCTATCTTCGATCCTAACTTCGATCCTATTTAGCTGCTCTATTTCTCATGACTCACCCTGTGTATTTAATATTTAAATGTAAGGAATGATCCTAAGGAATTTAGATTAGATTAAAATCTAAATTAAGGTCTTAATTTTTTTTTTGAAAATCTAAAGAGACCTTACTCGATCATTTCTCTACACTACTGCAGATCATACCGGACGGAAAACGTATAAAGGTGGTCAAGCAACCAGACGGAAGTCAAGCTTTGATAATTGAGAACGCGTCACCGGAAGACGCAGGAGAGTACCAAGTGATAGCAGGCAACACGGAAGGCACCTCCAACTGCAAAGGAACCGTAGAAGTAGTCGGTAAACTGCAATCCGATCGTCCAGAAGAGAAACCCGGCTTCGTGAACCCTATGAGAGACGTCTACGTGGAAGAAGGTCAACCACTGAACCTAGCCGCTTCCTTCACAGGAAATCCCATCCCAGAAGTAAGCTGGTCGAAGGACGGTTCTCCCCTGAAATCGTCCGATCGCCTCAGAGTGTCTTGCGACGGGAAAAAGACCGAACTGGAGATCAATCCTTGCGAAGCGAAAGACGCTGGCGTGTACGAGTGTCGTATATCCAATCCGCTCGGCGAAGACTCCACGAAATCGACAGCCAACGTTAGAAAGATCTACCAATCTCCTGGCTTCATGCAGAAATTCACGGATCTCCAACAGTTGCCCGGTTTCGACGCCAAGTTCCTAGCACGTGTCACAGGTGTGCCGCGACCCGATGTCACCTGGTACGCCAACGACAAACCGATCTCGCCGAACGACGAGAAGTACAAGATCAAACGTGACGGCGATGCTTGCTGTTTGTACGTGAAAGACTGCACCTACGACGATTCCGGAGCTTACAAGTGCAGAGCTGTGAACAAGGGAGGCGAGGCTGAGTGTGTTGCTAATTTGGACGTGGTAGACAAAATGTGAGTTGAGTCTTTGCTGTCTTCTCGATGGAGCAATATTGAGTAATTCACTGAATTACGTTCTTTGGTTTCAGAGAGAGAATGCAGAGGGTAGAACCTCCGTCGTTCTTGAAGAGAATCGGTGACTGCGAGGTCTACAAAGGAATGCCAGCTAAATTCACAGCCTGCATCACAGGCAACCCTGAGCCTGACTTCGAATGGTTCCGTAACGGAGAGAAACTGTGGCAAACTGACAGGATCAGGACTGAACAAGAAGGCAGTTTGTTGCGCTTGGTCATAGCCAATGTGGACGAACTGGACGCAGGCACGTACATGCTGAGAATAAAGAACCCTCATGGCGAAGATGCTTGCGTTGCTGACTTGATCTACGAGTGTAAGTATCGAGAAACTTGATTGTGAGAGATGTAGCACGATTTCTAACTTCGAAATCTTGTGGTACAATCGTCTGTTTATCGTTGAAACAGCACTGGAACCGAGAGCAAAGAAGGCACTGGGAGACCAATACGCAGATTTCGATAAGTATCGCAAATCAGGCGTTCCTCTGCCATTGGCAGATCGTCCAATCATCAGCAGGATGATGGATCGTCATCTGACGTTGTCCTGGAAACCGTCCATCCCCATTGGTCCTCGAATTCCAGTGACGTACCAAGTAGAGATGTGCGAGCTACCAGACGGCGATTGGTTCACAGCTAGAACTGGGATTCGCAGCTGCGTCTGCGACATCCGCAACCTGGAGCCCTTCAGGGACTACAAATTCCGTATTCGCGTGGAGAACAAATACGGAATCAGCGATCCATCGCCGTTCGCGCAGACTTATCGCGCTAAATTAGAGCCAGAACCGCCTAAATTCTTCCCCTATCTACCTCCTGGCATCGATTTCCGGCCTGAGACCAGTCCTTACTTCCCCAAAGACTTCGACATCGAGAGACCACCTCACGATAATTACGCTCAGGCGCCTAGATTCCTTCGTCAGGAATACGACACTCAGTACGGCGTGAAGAACCATAATTGCAGCCTGTTCTGGTTCGTCTATGGCTATCCGAAGCCAAAGATGACGTACTACTTCAACAATCAGCTGATAGAATCTGGCGGTAGATACGATCAGAGCTACACGAGAAATGGTCAGGCCACTTTGTTCATTAATAGGATGCTCGAGAGGGACGAAGGAATGTACGAGGCTGTTGCTACTAATGAACACGGTGAAGCTAGACAGAGGGTTCATCTGCAGATTGCAGAGTATCCAACGTTTATTCAGAGACCGGAGGAGACTATAGTGATGGTCAGGAGGACTGGACAGTTGATGGCTAAAGTCACCGGTGTACCTTTCCCGGAGATTAAATGGTACAAGGATTGGAAACCTCTTACCTCCTCTTCGAGAATAAGGGTTAGTTACTGTTATCGTAATTTATTAGGTCAATATAAAATAACACGCGAAAAACGAATAATCCTGGAAGATTTAATACCACGTTGCACGCCTACGTTACTGCACCTCTCTGTATAGAAAATTACATTGGTGTATGAAGGGTTGCTCGCATACGGGGATATTTCCAAACGTTAATAACTAAAGAACGAAGCCTCAAACGCGATTTTTTCATTCTTCATTTTCGTTTTATCTCGGCCTCTACAAACACCCACTAAATTTTCTGTCGAATCAGACCTAGTGTGCCATATTTTCTTTCGTAATTTTAACAATAGGAAGATGTTTTCTTCTTCCACACTTTGCATCGCGATTCTTCTTCCCCAGATCGAATTCAACGAACCGGACACGACAGTTCTCGTGATCAGCGACACTATCGTGAAGGACGAAGGCCTGTACTCTATCAGCGCGAGAAACGTGGCTGGATCGATCTCCTGTTCCGTGATGCTGCACGTGGAAGAGAACGAACACGAGTACGGATTCAGAACGTACAGGAGGAAGTCGGACATTAGACCACGTCACGACAAACCTCTGGACGATCTGTACGATCTTGGTGACGAGCTTGGTCGTGGCACACAAGGCGTCACTTATCACGCTGTGGAGAGGAGCACAGGTAGAAATTATGCGGCGAAGATGATGCACGGAAGAGGAGAGCTCAGGCCTTATATGTACAACGAGATGGAGGTGATGAACAACATGAACCACAGGAAATTGCTGCGACTGCACGACGCTTATGAGACCGATATATCGCTCACGTTGATCATGGAATTGTATCCTTTAAATACTTTCTTCAGTTTGAATTTTCTCGTTGATATTCGCCTATCTCGAGAGCGTTGAAATTGTTACAAGAGAAAGAATGTTTCTTAACCGATAAACAGAGCTGCTGGTGGAGAACTTGCGGACACTCTGACGAAACAAGCCTTCTACACCGAAGCAGACATCGCTGGTTACATTAGACAATTACTCTGGGGATTGGAGTACATGCATTCTAATCATTACGCTCATCTTGGCCTGACGGTTGATTAACCAGTTTGATCAATCCACAGGGTGGCTCATAAGTCGATTTACCATTTGAAAATTGACCGAACTCTTTGCTTTTCAATTGTTCGCATTTATTTTTTTATACGATGAAGTATAGAAAATGGAAGTTATTGCTGAATTTTCAAAATTTCAAACATAAATTTTGGAACTTATTTTTTTCATATGACGAAGTATACAAAATGTTCAAAATTTGAAATGAAAATTTTGAAACGATCGTTATTCAATTTTTGAATGATACGTGAATAAACGCCACCCTGTAAAAAACGTTGCACAAAACGTAAAATTTCCAAATATTTCTATCCACAGCTCGGAGATCTGTTGATCTCGCACACAGGAGGCGACGATCTGAAGATCTGCGACTTCGGTTTATCGAGAAGAATCTCTCAATCGAGATTAATGATCCTTGCCTACGGTATGCCTGAGTACATAGCACCGGAAGTGACCAACAACGAGGGAGTGTCGTTTGGCGCAGACATGTGGTCCGTTGGTATAATCACTTACATCTTGCTCTCTGGAATCTCGCCTTTCAGAGGCAACAACGACAGGGAGACGTTGATGAAGATCAGAGAGGGAAAATGGGATTTCGACGATCGTTGGGTGAATATCTCAGAGGATGCTAGGGATTTCATTCGTTCTTTATTGATGTACAACACCGAGAGGAGAATGGACGTGACCGCTGCTCTTGCTCATCCTTGGCTCAACTATGCCGATAGGTCTTCCCTCGATTTGTACAAGATTCCGTCGGAGAACTTGAAGAATTACTACAAGCTGTACCGGTTAGTTGGATGAATTTTGAAAAACAGAAATTTTGACATTTTTTATGTAGAGATGCCACAAATTAGTGTCTCTCCCAAATTCTCCTTTTTTGCATCTCTGTTGATCTGATCGAAATTCTTCTTTTTTGCACTTCTATTGATCTGATACAAATTCTTTTTTTTTCGCACCTCTATTGATCTGACCCAAATTCTCTTCTTTCTCAACTCCGTTACTCTGACCTAAATTCTCTTCTTTCTCACCTCTATCACTCTGACCCAAATTCTTTTCGACGAAATCCCATGATATTTATTATAAAAATTAATGCCTGTCCCAAACACTTCTTTTTGCACCTCTATTGATCTGACCCAAATTCTCTTCTTTCTCAACTCTGTTACTCTGACCTAAATTCTCTTCTTTCTCACCTCTATCACTCTTACCCAAATTCTTTTCAACGAAATCCCACGATATTTATTATAAAAATTAATGCCTGTCCCAAACACTCTTTTTTCGCACCTCTATCGCTCTGACCCAAATTCTATTCTTTTACCACCTCTGTTGCTCTGACCTAAACTCTCTTCTTTCTCACCTCTATCGCCCTGAAACTCTAGCGTACTCTGACTCGTTATTAACATCCACGCGAAACTTCCATTCTAAATGTGAAAATGATCTACAGCGACTGGTACAACAACGCTTCCTGCCGCACATGGTACCGCCGACGCAAGCTAAATTCAGCCTTCGAACATCCATCCAAGATGGTCTATCCACCTGGTGAAAGATACACACCCGAACCAGATGACAGACCATACATACCAACCGCGAAACCTCCAGCTAAACCATGGGACGTTGACATACCCTCGAGAGAACCGATTGACACCGAAATTGGAGTTATTAAGAGCGAGAGCCAGTGAGTATTCGTCGAAAAAAAAAAAAGAGACGAACAAATTTTCGATAAATAAACTTGGAAATTCGCAGCTATCAAAATGGACCAGACACCTATCTCCTCCAACTTCGAGACACGGACTTCCCCGTTCGTCTGCGCGAGTACATGAAGGTTGCGTGCAATCGCAGCCCTGGATTCTCTCGTTCCATCGCCGAGGAGAACTTCGACTGGAGGGTAATTAAGAAATTGCTAACACAAATCGTTAGACACAGCTTCAAATTCGTTGTTGTACGATCATTCTAGACGCCTATTATTCGAGAACGTCGTCGTTTCACGGACATCATGGACGAGGAGATCGACGACGAGAGGCGAGCGAGGATCAGCAGATACGGATCTCCGGATACCTACACCTTGAGACGCTTGAAGCACGAATTAGGAACGCGATTGGACAGTTACGCGGAAGCAGAAGCGATGTTGGAGTCGAAGAAAGAAGGACACTTGCCGTTCTTCCGTGAAAAACCCCAAATTAGACCCATCGAAGAGGGTAAACCTGCTCAAATAGCGTGTTTAGCCGTGGGAAGTCCTAAACCGATGATTCAATGGTACAAGAACGATCTGATGATCCAAGAGAGTAATAGAATAACGGTCACCGAGGATGAAGATGGTAGATCTATCCTTAGCTTCAATCCAACGAAGGAACACGATGTGGGTAGTTACAAAGTTGTCGCGAGAAACACCTTGGGACAGACTGTGGTTAGAACGAGACTCGTGGAAGCTGTTGTTCCTTCCAGTCCTGATTCTCCTGAGGTAAAGTATACTTATACCGAGGATAAAATAATATTAAAGTATAAAATATACCGAGGAAAACATTTATTTCTTCATCTTGCGTTTGAGAATGCTGAAAATAATTTTTATTACTTTCGATGACCCTTTTTCATTTGTCGGGTAACTGGGGAATCCCCCCCTATGAAAGAATATGGCGGTTTTTGGGCGATGAAACCGTCGAGACTTTGTGGAAAAGGCACTGAATTCTTAAAAAAATTTTCCAAGTCCCTTAATACCCACGATATATCGAAATTAATTTGTACACGTAATAAATAACACTTATAATTTAATTATACATGTAGTGGCCTCTATAACAATTAAAAGAAATAATAATAGCCAGGAAATGAAGAGGGCGCTTTAACTGCGCATAGAGTTCTGACTTACCGACCGGAAATTCGCGGGTTCGATTCCTGATTCAAATTTTCTGGGCTTCTTATACATTTAGAAATATAAATATAGCTACTCTTTACCTGAAAAGTGTAGGATTTCTGATTGTAGGGTTTCCACTTCCGCCCCATATCTCTGAACGTGTTAAAGTCCTGTTAAAATTCCTCGATGGACCCTTTCGCATCTACGAACGAGATTTTTATCCCGATACTTTAGACGAAATATCTCACGTTACAATAACTCGAGAGATATGTCGTCCAACGATAAGTAAAAATTTCTCGGCGAATGCAAAGGGGTTAAAAACAAGCAAAAAAGTATCCACTAATTTGTAAAAAACATATTTCCAGATGTCTGACGTGTCAGACACAGAAATACTTGTACGATGGAAACAACCGAAATACGATGGCAATTCTCCAGTATTGTGCTACAGTCTGCAGTACAGAGAAGGCGATAGAATCGAATGGATAGATATCGCTTCGAACATCGATCACGAGTTCTTCCTTATGAGAGATTTAAAACCGGACACAAGCTACAATTTCCGTTTAGGGGCTCGAAATCGTATCGGTTGGAGCGAAATGAGTATTCCTTCGAAATTATTCAAAACTAGACCAACGGGTTGTCCAAAGGTACAGATCACACGAGCAATGAGGCACCTTCAAGAATTGACAGAAGCAGGCCAGATAATAATGCCTGACGAAGACAGACCACACATGGACTATTCCATCGAGGATCATCCTATCGAATGGTCAACCGATTCGAATCTCAGTAGCAAGTACAGCTTTATCTCTGAGATCGCCAGAGGTCAATTCTCCACTGTGGTGAAAGGTGTTGATAAAAGCACTGACCGTGTGATAGTAGCGAAGATCTTAGAGCTGCGTACAGAAACGGAGAAACAAGTGAACAGGGAGTTCGAAGCTCTTCGTTCGTTGAGACACGAAAGGATAGCTTTGCTGGAGGCAGCCTACAAGGCACAAGGTTCTCCAGTCGCTGTGTTCATTCTGGAGAAACTTCAAGGAGCTGATATTCTCACTTATTTCTCGAGTAGACACGAGTACACTGAGAATTGCGTAGCAGTTGTCATTACTCAGATTCTGGATGGTCTACAGTACCTCCATTGGCGAGGATACTGCCACCTGGACATTCAACCTGATAACATAGTAATGTCGACCGTTAGATCGGTTCAAGTTAAATTGGTCGATATGGGATCTGCTCGATTGGTCAGTAAATTAGGCACCTTAGTACCGAAGGCTGGTCATCCAGAGTATAGAGCGCCAGAAGTATACAATGAAGAACCAGCTCATCCTCAAACAGACGTTTGGATGGTCGGTGTTTTGATGTATGTTCTTCTGTCTGGTATTTCGCCGTTCCGTGGCAAGGATCCTGATGAGACCAGACAGAATATTCTGTTCGTGAGATACAGATTCGAATATTTGTTTAAAGAGTTGAGTCAAGAAGCTACAAGGTTCCTTATGTTGGTCTTCAAACGGGCACCCGGGTTTGTAGTGTTCTTTGCTTTCATTTTTCTTTTATTTGAAAGGATGTTTTTAATTGTATTATTTTTATTTTAGTAAAAGACCACTGGTGGAAGAGACCCATGAACATAGGTGGTTACAATCATCAGACTTTATGATTAAGAAACGTGAAAGAGCTGTGTTCTTAGGCAACAGACTGAAAGAGTATAATGAAGAGTATCATGAAGAGAAGTCGAAAATAGCATCTGATAGCCAAAACCTGGCAAGTGAAAGCCTATTAGGATCGACGCAAAAACTCATCAGATCGACTAGCATACAAGAAGAACTGCTCACCACGTTCTAACGAATAAGATACTATTAAGCGACGATTTTCCAATTTTCTTTACCTATACGTGACTGTAAAATTTCACGCACGTATCTAGTCAGTCTCTTAGAGAGTAAGGAAGAGTAATGGGAATTAAATGAGAATAGAATGGAGACAACTGAAATACAAGAACCTTCTTTCCTTGCTCTCTTTTTTGTTATTATTTATTTGTTACTTTTAATTATTTTAACAGAATATTACCGTCTGCTCATACGTTGCTCCAAAGATCTACGAGTAACAAGGAAAGAATCGATCGATCGGTATTTGAATGTAACGTAAGATAAATCACATTTTAACGAATCAAGGTACAAACCAAATCCTTTGAAATTGTACAAAAACGATGATTATATTCTAATAAAATCATCAATAAATGCTAAAATAGTTAAACGACGTTTTATCATTAAATATCGACTTTATTTACAAATTATGATCTTTTATCATTTTAATGCTCTATAAAAAGAATCGGGGTATTGTACACATGACATGCTCTGTCCTCACTCCCTGTACCATTAATTACACGTAAATTGAACTGCAATGAATTATCGTAACACTCAAAAAAGTTGCACGAGATTAACGAAATGAAAAATAACAGATTCAATCTCCCTGGAATAAGAAGACTAGTAGCAAATGATATTAAACACAAGTTAGTTGATATCACTTATGAAAAGCACTTTTTAAAATTAAATTGGAAATTTCCATCAAAATGAAAACCTAGTTCCATAAATGTACAATTATATTTTTATAACATGATCCATTAATCCGAATCATCTTTTCGCATACTGTATCACATAATCTTTAACTTTATTTTGAAAGGACTCCTTATCATTTATAAATAGGTCAGCTGCATCTCTATTCAAAGGGTCATCAAAATTTAAAAGATCCTGAAAAGAATATAGAGAGATAATGGAAGTTCAGAAACAATTACAAAGCTTAATTTTTGAAGACATACAGTAAAAAGAGAATTCAAGCCCCATATAACATCTTTAAGCTTACGGGTTGGTGCCCATCCCATCCCATCTATACTACTTTGTCTTAAAATTGAAAGACACACATCACCATCCACATTTATGTTAGGATGCCATAATTTTGTTAAGCACTTAACTTTTGGTGGCTGCAACAAATATTTTCTTAACACCACACTAGTTACAAGCTATGAACTACGAGCTATGATGTACTTACAACCATATTATAATCTTCAGATATATAAATCTGAAACTCGAATCTACCTCCAATCCAATATCCTTCATCAGGAACTATCAACAGCATAAACTCATGTAGAGAATGAGGATCGTGGAATTTCACTTGACATGTACTAGGTAAAGTTTGTTCCATCTCTTGAACCTAAATAAATCAAAGGATTCAAACATTTTAATAAAATTGTGATCCAGTGTCAAAGTGGCATTATTTTGAAACTTTCAAGATTGCATACATCCCTATGTAATTATACCTCTTTAATTAATAATTTATCACGGACAGAAACACGTTTATTATAATCTTTGTTTTTTGAGTTTGTTATATCACTATCCTTCTTCAGCTTCCCTCTTAAAGTAATCATATTTTTAACAACTCTGTAAACAGATAATTTAATGAGCTATGTAACGTAATTAAAGCACCACAAAATAAATGAAATGTCGATCTGTCACAGTGACAACTACGTAGAAGATGTGTTATGAACAATCGAGGCATTATTCGTATTTATATGATAACCCCACTTTAGGAAAAATTAAAAACAGAAACTATTATTTCGAAACACAAAGACTGTTGATAAACCCCGTTACAATATATAACGATAAGAATTCTTTTCTTAAAACTTTTAGAAGCTATATTGTCAAATACTATTTATGACGTTTATTAACAGACAACACAATTTTAAGGTTAGACCTATTGAATATATTTAACTTCAATTAACTATACCTTATACCTATAAATATTGTAATACTGTAATATATGTTTCCTTGTATATTTAATTTAATATATACACATTTCGATAATTCTCATTTTAAGTTTTCCAATTATCAAACATTTAAAACGAAACGATAAATATTTAAGTGCACTGAAATTCTAGGATTCCTACTGTAGATGGCAACACTGAATAAATATACACAGTATGTTTATTATTGCCATCGATGTAATTGTTGTTTATAAAAAGTATTGTTTTTATTATAAACAAATGTAGTGTATAACTTACCAGTGAAACTGCTTCATTTATTTATAAGTATTTATCGTGTGAAACATTTTTTATGAAGATTATCACTTTAAACTTTATCAATTCTATGCAAGACAGATATTATGATAAATACATCGGATATTAAAAATGTAAGAGATGACAATAATTACAACGTTTGAACAGTTTCTGAGGAAAATTTTATTAATAATGGCTTTTTATTATATGCATCATCATGCTGTACGAAAAAAATGTTTATAACATGTAAAAAATTTATATAATATACAAACATAACTATTTCTTTTATCCAAATGCATGCCATATTTGTAAAAAATTTGGCAATGGAATCTGTTTAAAAAGATGTGGTAATTGTACAATGATTTCTTATTGCTCCAAGGAACATCAAAAAGAACATTGGCCACAGCACAAATATTTATGTAATGCAATATGCTGTGTTTTAAAAGATAACAAAATATCAAACTTTTTGAATAACAAACAAAACCATAACAAAGAAAACTGGGCTCAAGTGAAAATGAATTTCATGTTATTAGTAGCAATAGCAATTGGTAGAAAATTGGAACACTATGAAGAAGAAATGTTTAAATTTCTTAGATCATGTGTTGTATGTCATGATCCAAATGTAAAGATTCTTGAAAATTGTTCTAATTGTCCAAATGCCAGTTTTTGCACAAAGCACAAAAATGATGCAAAGCATAAGAACATTTGTTATCTTATAAAATTATGCTTTAACTTAGATGTAATCTCAGTAATGCACAAACGCAAAATACCTGAAATAAAACTACCATATCATACAGATTATATAAATTTACCACAAAATATGAAAGATTTTATAGATTATTATACTGAGCCAGAAAGAAATGTACAAATATCTATAGATGAAGAAAGAATGATAAATTCTGAATATCTTACACGACCTTTAACATTTCTTTATGCAATACAGAAATTAGAATATATTTTAGAAGATGATAGTATCATTGTTCATGTTATTGCAGCCAATATGATAGACATTGATGGCATAGCACTTTGGGAAATTTTATTACATTGGGTACCAAGTATAACAACAATAAAAATAATATTAATAGGACCTGAACTGTCTTTAGGTTCTATGTCAATGAATCTCTGTAAATATTGTCAGTGTAACAACAAAGAAATTTCAATTCATATGTATGATATGCTTTATGAGAATTACAGTCATGAAGTATCATATATAAAACCAAATTTTATTATTGGTTACAATGCAGGAATTCATGAATGTGAAGATGTCAAATCAGAAAAAGATACATGGAGGCAATCTTTGCAAACAGTAGCTGAACAAAACTGCCCATTTGTTCTAACATCTTATACTTTAGCAGAAGCAGAAAAAGAGCAAATCAGACTTAATGAAATTCTAGACAATCATGTAAAATGTGCATATTTTGAATGGAATCCATATTCCAGTTTAAAACCATACAGAGATTTTGAAACTGAAGGAATATATTATCAAAATCAGTATATAATTATGTATAGTAATTTAAAAGCAAATAATTGCTATTAAAGAATAATATGAGTCCCAATAATTTTATAACAAGTTGCATAATATATATACTACTATTATAGGTTAAATTTACATTATATTGTATTTTATAATCAGTTTTTTATATATTTACACTATTTGTATGAATTTTCAATTCAATAGACAATAAGACATAATACTCGTATGACAGCTGTTTTTGAAGCAAGTCTGTACACAATAAATCGATCGAAAACCATTATTAAAATCCCCAGTTTATTTCGTCAATTATCTTCAACTTCCTTGATGATATTTAATTTCACATTTACTTATTCTTTTTTATAAATGAATAATGTTCTGCAACCTATTTTCTATTATAAGTAAACAATAATGACAGAATGATAAGGTGGCCAACCCCCCATCCAGTCTGTCACGCGCATATGATAAGTTTCATGTTCATAAATACTTTCCTTCCTAATTTGTTAAAAGTTTAATAAATATCTCAAACATATAATTACTTGTAACATTGTATGTTTTATATGAATTTTTGAATAATTTAATAATAATGGCAGAAATCGAATGGCCATGGCAATACAGTTTTCCTCCTTTTTTTACGTAAGTATAAATAGGTTACATTGATTGTATATTGTAAATTATAATTTAAATGTAAGCATTTGCTTTTACTATTTAATTATTTAATAAACAATT